AAATAGTTTAATATTATTCTCTTAAGTGAAGTTCAATCGAATAGTGTAGAGAGATAGAGCTTCTTTTTCTCTTTAAGAATATATAAAATGAACGTTCTTTAAGGCTTATCATAAGAGATTAAAGTATCACTCTACGAACTTTTGGTATGCCGTAAGTATATGTAAGTGTCAACGAAGAAATTTTGAATATATTGCTATCTGCCTCTTCTACAGTTTTTCGACACGCAAAGCTTTTAGTACAGTTATTGCTCAATTATCACTGGATATCTTCCACTAGTCATTCAAATATTTGTCACTTTCAACTGGTTACATTCGAGCGAACCTTATTTTTTTGAAGATCGGTAAAAAGGATTTGCTGCATTTTTATTGTGCCTCATACTTTTCGTTCGAGAAGGACAGCGCGAAAAGCTTTTTTTCCGGATAATTTTTCATTCTGCAGGCAAGGTATATTCCTCATGTACACATGTAAGAAGTTTCATAAAAAAATATTATTGTGGACTACTTTGGTTTGCACGCGACGGGCTTGTTATAAATGCTGTCGAACATGACACTCTGATCATTATGTTAGTAACAAACTGTAAAAAGTCAAATGAGTAGTGATGAAGAGTGCGAATTATTAATAAGTAATAAGACAAAGTGTTATGATGCCTCTGAGCTTCATCCACGTCAATCATCTCGTCTTGAATGGGCAGAATCGTCATGGACTCGATGGTTCCACTTGGTATTGTGGTGGTGGGTAAGTCCAGTTCTTTCTTTGGGATATAAGCGAGCGTTAACAGATGATGATTTTGATAATTTACCTCATGATGATGAATGTTCTGTGTTGTTAAATAAAATGCTTATGTACGATTGGATGAAAACTACAACACTAGTTGTAATTGCTCAAGCTTTTTGGAAACAGTTTGTATACGTCGGTCTTCTACTTATTCCGTTGATGATAGCTCGTATTGCGCAGCCGATACTTCTCCTCCACATTGTTTCTTTTATTGATAATGATCAACAGAATTCGTCGATAACATCGCCCATCGCTGGCTATTTTTACGCCATTACACTGTTTCTTTGTGCACTTTCCCAAATAGTGCTTTACCAACAATATTTTTTCCGATCAGCGCGAATTGGATTAAGGATACGCAATGCACTAATATCGCTCATCCATACACGTTTATTATCCATCAATATAACATCATTAAACGAAACTACAGCAGCTCAGATAATCAATTTAGTAGCAAATGATGCAACAAAATTTGAGGACTTTAGTATGTACTTCTCTTACTTATGGGATACACCGCTCCAGGCTATTATTATATATGGCATTCTTTGCTGGCTTATTGGGCCTCTTCTTGCATTGTTTGGTTACTTAGTATTAACCGTATTCATAATCTTACAAGGGATATTTAGTCGACAATTTAGTCGATTTCGTGAGACCACAATAGTATGGGTTGACAAGCGGATACAGGCGTTTGAAGAGATCATTAATGGATATCATATTATCAAAATGTATAATTGGGAGGAGCCGATGAAGAGACGTGTGTTGGAAATACGTCAGCATGAGTTTACCAGCATTCAATATGCATCTTATCTGCGCGCGTTCAATATCGCTCTGTTCTTTGCGATAATGCCGATTATGGCATTAGTCACATGCGGTGGAGCTTTTCTTATCAACAAACCGTTACATAGAATCATTCATCAAGTACGTAGTTTGCAGTGCCTTTGCGAACAAAGGGGTTGAATGTCACATACGATCACATTATATTAGATCTTCTATGGCTTCGACTCTACTAGTGATGACACCGTTGATAGTGTGCTGGTATGATCACTTCCTCCTTCTCGTTTTTACCTTTCTACTCTCTTTCTCTCTCTCTCTCTCTCTTGAGTAATCCTGCGTTGTGTATGGCATAAACAAGGCTGAATATGTGAAGTAGTTCAATCATTATTGCTAGCGAAGGTGCTGATACGTTAGTCTTCGTGTTTGTCACAGTTTGGTTGTTATATTGTGTCCCTGGTAAACGAATTCGCGTATGTCTCTGTTCAACATGAATGTTTTCGATAACCAGCAACAACAATTTTGTAAACGCATATAACTTTAACAGAAGGGAGGCACGCAGACAACTATTATAATATGTGCTAAAAAGCAATTAATGGCATCACTTTAGTACCTTATTTAGTCTATTCAATAGCATGAACGGCGACAGCATATATGAGCAAATGACAAATGTTTTAATAAGACAAGCTTATAATTTAAAAAGCGATAGGTCAAAGCTTCGAAATAACTCATGTAAAACATATCACATAAAAATCAACTAATTTATTATTATAATCGATTTACAGTAGGGAAAACCTATTAAAATGCCGAGTTTTCGATTTTTTCGATATAATTTTCTGATTTTAATCTATTTGTTGCTATAAATCATTGAAAATCGATTCTCTTTGATCGATTATCATCAATTGTATTCCTCAGAGTCTGATAAAATCAATTAATAACTCATACATTCACCAGAATCGGTTCTATTCCAAATCAGTTATCATCGAATGTACAAGAAATCCTGTAGAAATCAGCAATATAGGTTATTAACTATTAGAACTATATACATTAGCAATGTTTGCGATTTGAAAGATAATCTTAGACAACAGTTTAGATTGCGTAGCAACTGGCATTATCTCACTTTTGCTATAGTTCTTTTTGATATTTTTATGTGAAAAACATTGAAGTGAGCAATAAGTATACATTATTGTATGCATAGTATTGCTTGATATTTGAGATCCGCATTAGCATTGGTATGAACTCCGAAAGTTTCCAGTTTCAATAAACAGTGACCAATTATTTACTAGTAAGCATTTCTCTTTGCCTAAGGACATATTTGATGCCAAAAAACAGTAAATAATAATTTTATGAAATCATTATTTCTTCAAGTTTTAGGTTCACCCAAAGACAAGAATGAACGGTAAATAATTAGAAATCAATTTTCATCTTCATTCACAAACAATGTGGATGTTAAAACAATCAGTAAGAAATAACTCAATGAAAGAGCTGTCCTTTTGTTACAGATAGATTCACCTGCTCGAATCAATGGGGAATCACAATTTATTTCACAAATTGTTCATAAATCATCACCAAAAATGAATCGAGAAGTATATTGCAATCAAAATATACTTTATACCAACCGTCGACAAAGTTCTTACTCTCTCTTCTCCCACAACGCCTATGACTAATTAAAAGAATTATTATACGATTGTGATAGAGATTACAATAGAAGGAGGAGATGTATTGAATGCACTTGATTGCAGTAGATTTAAATTGATTTAAAATTGTTCTTTAGTTTATTAAAAACCGAAGATAATCAACTTTTTTTATTATAATCAATCACCCACAATTATAATCGATTCGAAATGAAAAAAAAAATGGATTGAAGGTGTATGGTTTAAATCGATTCTTAATCGACTCTGAAATCAATTATAATCTGATTTTTTTCTAATTTTTTTACATGGGAAGTGATTAGGTTGCATACAGAGAAAGAGCTGATCGCATCATCTTGAAATTCTTTTAATTTCACAGAACTTAATCGGACAGTGATGAACTATTTTCACGAAGAACGAATGAACTTTTTGTACGTCAGAAGTCCACTCTTTTCCTTTTAATTATTGTACATTAACAACCAGTATCAGTCATTAAAACGCTGGACTCTGGCGTCAACTGGCACTCGACATGGTAAACAGATAAGAGGTTCTACATCTTATAGTTATTATTTGTAAATAGTTCAGCTAGTCATAGTATATTGCTGTCATTCATGCGTCTAATCAAACAGAGATCAGAATATGGCTAAAGATATCGGAAAGCAGTCGATTATCTCTTTCTATACAAAAGCAAAATGACGTGAAATATTCTTCGCGTGTTAATACGGATTGCTATCTCATGCGCACTAAAAATCTAGAAGTAAATTATTATATGTGCTGCTTTCATTTATTGTATGCTGTATTATTTTTGTAGTATAAAGTGTTGTTTTAAAGTATTTGAAACTAGCGAAAGTAATTTAGGCTTTCAGTCTCGTTGGTCACTCTTGTTTTTATAAGTAGCATTGCAGTCGGTGCATTGAAAAGAGAATAGATGGATATTCATTGTGGTCTATTAGTGTGTTACACTCTTTTTTGTCCTAAAATTTATGATTTGCAGGATTTCACCATAAGGACGAATGTAAAATGTATCTTAACGGTGAATACATGTTCCAACAATCCAGGTTCGGAGAAATCACAGCAATAAAATCATATGTTTAATATTATCGAATAGTCCTGCAAATCGCGTTTATGCTGAACGGTAGTCTCGAGTGTATTATCTATTGCCAAATGTACAAGAAATTATCTATATACTACTACTTAATACCACATTTCATACTGAGGATTCTTGTGTATTGTTTTCATAAACTCCAATTCGTACCATGCTTTCTGACATACTATCAGGAAGAAAGCATAAGGATACAAAAGCGTTTCTCGTATGATATGTTCTGAATGAAATTTACAAAATACGATCATTCTTGGGTGTATCATTTAATGTGATTCGTCTATTTAAAGCACCTGTGGCTGGCTTGGTTGACACTACTTCGTCTTTTTTTTTTTTATTTTATTTGCTAATAACTGCGATCATATGATCCTAACAGTGCAAGATAAGGTGAAGTCACCAAATGAAAAGAAAAATAGTAAAAGAAAACACGTGGATACACCACAAAGAGATCAATAAAAAACAGAAATACACAGAGCATCAGTAACAATCACGA